CAGGCTCGAGGTGATTGCTTCAAGCCATACCGTGATTTTCTGAGCCTACACATGTTACCCATTGTTTGGATTGTACCGGATTCTGATGTTATTTTCATATATACCTCTTCTAGTAATTCACCTTTAAGAATTGTATTCTTCATATCGAGCTAGTGTAACCTTCACCCACCATTCACTGCAAGAAAAACTAGTGTCCTCACAGTGCTCATCGTTGTTACTGTTACAAAAGGTTCATCATAATCAATGCCATGTTTGACTGTATTCTTTTGTCAGTAGTTGTGAGTTGTGCCGCTCCACCTTCCCTTTCTGAGTTTGCTTTACTGTGCAGATCCACTTGCAACAAACTGCCATTTTTCCCATTGGTAGTGGCACTCACTCTTCGTTAAAACATTTGAAACATCTCTTACATTCATTCTTGTTCCTGCTTGAGGAGTTGACCAAGCCCATATATTGCTAGCATCGTCATTAAAATTGATGATCATGATGATGGGTTATACAACTAGTAATTGCACACCGTGCACGATTTTGACCTATTTAAAGGTTAGAGAAAAGTTGAAACAGCATGTGACTGAAATGGTCCCCTTAATTTAGGAGAAATTACTATATGAACTATTGTTGCGGCTCTACATGCTGACTATGAGAGGACACAACTTTGTACTCACTATGTGTTAAATACACAACTATGCTCTTAATCAAATGGAGTTTACAACCAATGTGCAGTTTTGTACTTTAATACACCGTGTACTTTCATATTCTGCACATAAAGCTATGTTCAGAACCTGCATATAGTAACTTCTAATCTTGAGGCAGTGATGTTTTGATTATTTGAGCTCTCAGTGTTAAGTGATTGCTAGCTCAAAGATGACATGGTGATCCTTAACATTAAAACTGCTTCGTCTTTGTTGCACAATTTTTGTTTTTGGTTGCACAAGCAGGATGGAATTCAATTTTTAAAATCAAACAAATTATTTTAAATTATCTTGATGATAATTCATCATTGATTAATTAAGAAGAAGTCAAGATATTTTTTGCCCAAAACAAATGTGCTAATAAATTTGACATGCCTTCTATCTGGTAGTAGCATGGTAGCCACTTGACATCCTATGTCACTTAAACCTAGGGCTTGTGAAACTTACTAGGTACAGGTCTGCCAACATGTAGCTATTTGAGGATGCTATGTGTTCAATCGTTGATTTAGTCAAGTCAAGGCCCTTTTGGTCAAATGATAGCATCTTATGCTTCATGTTAGCATGCCACATAATTAGGAGTTAGGGCCAAATTGGCTCTACTCATGACACATTATCACTAGTTGGACTAATTAATGGCCAACTAACATGTGGTAATGTTGACCAAACAATGTTGGTTTAGGTACTATGTACTAAGCCCCTCAACAAGTTATCTTATTTTGTAATTCCATAATGTTACAATTAAATGAGTGTTTTAATTCAATTTAAAAAGGAAAAGTTTGAAAAATTCTATAAAAATGTTTGGATATTTTTAAAACTATAGAAGATTTCTATTAAATTGCAGAATAATTTCGGCCTATGAAAATATTTATAAATTTGGCACTTAGATTTTTGATGTTAAAAACTCCTAAAATGTTATTTTTGCTTAAATTTTTTTTTAATATAAGGATGTTTTTTTAACCTATAAGATCTCATTAAAATTCATGAAATAATTTGAGTTTGTAGGTGAAGTAATTAGTTTCTAGTTCCCTTGTGTTTGACAGTTGGATTTGGCTTATTAAACTTGCTATCACCATAGATGCATGTGTTTGATTTGAGAAGCATGCTAAGGCACTAAATTATTATATACAGTTTTAAGGACAAACTATTCTGGATAGTTAAAGTGTTTGTAAACATCCTTTGAACCTTTGTCTTCAGTATTCCTAGTAATGCATTGATATTTATGTTGGTATGGCAAAATGTGTATTGATGCACATCGAGCCTTTGAAAGCATTTTCTGAACATTGAACCTTGGTCTTTAATATTTTACCCATATATTGAATTTCCTTTTGGTTTATCATAAAGTTATTGTTACATGCTTGGTCTTTGAATGAACTTGGATTTTTCCAAAGTTTCCATTAAATTTTTTTTGATGCTCAAAATCTTGTGGTATCGATTTTGTTGGTTAGGAAAGATGGTTGGGCCTAGTTGCAGTCTTGATGATTATTGCTTGATTTTAGTGTCTTCTGTACTGTGGCCTCAAAAAATGTCATTTTTAAATTGACGGTTTTCTTGTATGTTCAAATAATTTATAAAAATATGTTGAATGGCATTGGCAAGTTTATCACAACAATGCAGATATATCTTTAGCAGCATCCTAATCGTTCTACACCTCATACAAACCATTCTGCTTTCCATCCACTACAGGGAGATCATAATTAACTTTATTTAGAATATTCCGTCTCATACTTGCTGCTACAGTAATTTGCACTTTATGCAATTCTGTGTTGAAGAAATTCCTGATTACTCTCTTCTTTGTTGCTTCTCTCTTCTCCTCTACATGGTATATCTGATTAATAAGCTCTCTAGCCCCTCCCAATAGTAACCATGACCTCCTGTCAGAAAACACAGCAAGAAGAGAACTCATTTCCAACAACGCAACCTGCATCTATCACATGCAGTTCCTAGATTCCTGCACAATTAAAATTTCGGATATCCAACATCAAGAGTATCATATCAGCCCAGCTAACTATAAAGAATCATCTCACATGGCATTATCAAGTTCTAAAAATGTTCAAAACCAATGGATATGAAGGTTTCCTAGAAGGCACCAAAACTCAACCATCCAAATATAAATGCAGAATTAAGTAGGACTCATTGCATCCAACCCTTAATATGCCACATGGAGGCTATAGATCAAGAATATATCGTTCTATACCCACTAAATGACTTTTCCCAAACTTGCAAAACCTCAAAATTTTCATACACACTCAACTTTAGCCGGTCATACTCCTATTTAGAAGAATCCACTCTAGCTATAAAGCTTGCTCGTGATTTGTAGTCGCAATAGCTGGGTTCACACGATGATTTCACCATATCATATGGTCGAGGGAGAGGATGCTCCAACCAGTCAAGCTGCAACAGTGGAAAACCAACCTTTCATAGCCGCTCCAGCCACAATACACCGAAGTAGAATAACACACATTGGCTCAAACAACTGAAATCACATGGATCCGATGTTTCGTACAGGAATTTCAAATCTCAACAGCAAAACTAACTCCCTTATACTGCGACAATGTATCAATCCTGAGCCTAGCCCAATCTTTCACACCCACACAATGCATATGGATATAGATTATCACTTTAACCTAGATTGCATCATCGTACAAAACATCGTAGGTCATCATCTTTTGTTCCAAGATAAGTTGGCAGAAATTTTCACGGAACCCCTCTCTATTTCCATATTCACCACCTGCACAACAAGCTGACTACAACAGCAAAATATTAGCTTGAGGGGGGGATTTTAGGGTACGTATATATCATCAGGAGCTCGCTAATCATTTCTTCAGCCCATACAAACCATTTTGCTGTCCATCTGTTACAAGGAGATCATAACTAAGTCTGCTGAGAATGTTCCCTCTTCCTGATTACTCTTTTTCATGCTGCTGCTCCTGCTCCTTTAAATTCTGTTTTTCTCTACAGTTAAAAATGCCTTGTTAGATTTTTCAAGGCAATAGAGGCAAGGGGCTTCTAATCTCACTTTTGAGTGACACGTTCTGGATGTTTAAAATGTATAGGTTACAAGTCTTTAAATCTGCCAAACCCTCACTTTTCTTAGGCCTGCTTCTCTGAGTGAAACAAAAACTCTAGACTAACTGATGGTTATGCTAAGCCTTTGAGATTTTATCATTGATCATGTTTCAAAACATTTGGATTTTGTCTACTAAAACGGCTTAAAACAAAAACTTGCTGAAAACCTTATTTGCTGATGCACGACAATCTCTTAGGCGCTTACAAGATTAATGAGATCAAGTGAGATGAACACAACATTGTCAACCATTTTAGCAGAAGCCTTTGTTGTCCATTGGAAGAACATTATCACAGCTCTGTAGATATTTCTTTAGAAGTTTGAAAGGCTTTTTGTATATTGCTAGATTGATCCTTCCTGATTGAATTATTAATTGATTGAAGTGGTACATTTGTACATATGATGAATCACGGTAGTGCATGAGCATTGTATATGGGTGGGTGGTTGTGATTTGGTATTGTGCTGCAGGTGAATCTTGTGTGACCACGGGGAATTGTGAAGTGCTTTGGTAGGATGCAGAGAATTGTTAAGAGGGACGTGCCTTGTGTATATGAAATGCGAAATGCTATGTTTGCAAGCAGAATATGTGAATTACATGACTGACTGCCTGGGAAGTGTAAATTAAACCCATGATAAAGGAGCAATCAATTCATTAAAATAAATCCAAAAGAAAACCTTTCCTTTAACTTGTCCTAACTCATTGAGGTTTCTTTTTACTAGCATAGACATAAAGCTCAAATATTTGTCATTTACAGAGTACAACATATTAAAAAGGCTAGTCTTCAGAAATTATTGTGTTTCAGCAGGTCTATTGCTTATTGTAATGAAGCTTGGTAGTGGAAGATAGTTGACTTCCGTTACATCTACTCAGTCACCTCCTGCTTTTTGAGAAAAAGAAACAGTATTTTACTCAACAAAGTCAATTATGCTAACCACTTTTTATGTTTATCCTTAGATCCTATTAGTATTTACATTGTGCAATTACATGTTGCTGTTAGAAATTGCAAAGAGTAACATGTAAGGTTCAAGTATATTGTTTAATTATGCTCCTAATATGATTAATCTTCTAGCGGATTGTATCACCACTTAATATGAGAATATCACATTAAATGGTATCGAAAAGTTTTCCATGAAGTCAGTGAGTAAACTACAATAAAGTAATATTGTTTATATTTTGTTTAATTTTTAAAGTTACCATCGACAACATTTGTAACTGTTTTTTTCTTTTCATTGTTATTTTTATCAAGCTATCATTTCAAGAATGGACCCAACAAGTACAGGAGATGTTGAACACAAAGAAATTTGGTGATATTGCTTTCAGAGACAAGGATTTCAAAAGTGCGATCGAGTACTATTCAAAGGTATTTTTGCTTTAACTCTTTTTTTTTTTTGCTTTAACTCTTTTTTTTTTTTCTTGCACTTTAAATCATAGTTCAAAATATGTTTGCTCCTGAATGCTTTCATTCTATGAATTAAGTTGTCCAATTGATTTGTCGATAAATTGTGGGTTTCAATTGATAACTACTGCTCATTAGTTGGGCGTGCTTAATATTCTTAGTAGTTTTTGATTAAACATTGCTAGAAATTTGCTGTTAGGCTGATATCAGCTATTTGGAACCTGGTGAACTGGACTGTAGTAATTTGTAACCATATTACCCAAAGATTAATTTATGCTTTATGAACTAGCTAAAAACTGTAGGTATTAAGTATGAACTGGATAGAAATTTCTTTCTTGTTTAAATCAAACATTTAATTTACCATGAAATGTTGCTAGACAGATTTTGAAAATTGGGAACCAGTGGAACTGTATTATAGTATTATGTAAGAATGATACCCATTGAAGGAAGCCTCACTTGATTTAATTTGTGCTGAATTTAATTTTCATCCAGAAGCTGTAGTTGTTCAGTCTATTATACTTCCTAGTCTTCCTTGGAACAAAACCAATTTGTTGTATCTGGTTCGTTTTGAGGCATGCCCTTTTAATCACATCCTTATTTAGAGAAGAAAAGTACTTAAAGTGGCATTCAAAACTAGTTTATTCTATTTGCATCCTTACTCCCTCAATCTTCCTATAAATACCATAACTTTATAACCATCTTTTGCGAAATACAATTAACTTCACTGAACTTGTCGATGGAGGCCTTATTCTTGCGATGCAATCATACAGCTGGTAGTGATGATGTCAGTGCCTTCTGCAACTGTTTTTGCAAGGCGAGCTCTTTCGTATCTGATGAATGGGCAACCAGAGCTTGCACTTCGAGATGCCATGCAAGCACAAGTTTGCTTACCTGAATGGCCAACTGCCTTTTACCTTCAAGCACTGGCCCTCTCAAAACTAGGCATGGAAACTGATGCCCAGGATATGCTCAATGATGGTGCTGCCTTCGAAGCTAAGAAGCAAAATAACTGGCGAGGTTAAGTGTATCTTTTAAAAAAAAAGTCTCCCATCACTCATCATTTCTCCTTGTTCCTGTTAATGCTTCCAATGGATGTTGCCCAAGCAGAATTATTTTTCAGTTGGATGAGCGAATTTAATCCCACTGTGGAAGATGGAGATGGATGATGTGAGTGATGATGACCAAATAAATGTATAGTATCTTCGGGAGAAATAATTTTGTATGTTATTGTGTTGATCAGGAATTCATCTACTTGCATGCTAACCCTATTCTTTCTTAGATGTGAGAAAGCTGGAGATTTGAGATGAAGGAATGGGGATTGGCGTGAATCCTCAACTTATTTTGTATTAGTTGTCACCATATCTATGAACAGATGATTAGCATTCAAATTGCTAAAGTTATGTGCTCTGCTGTGTGCTAACGTGCTCGTGCATTATTTTATTTTTTTCTTTTTTTGTCGATGTTGATTGACTTCCAGAGATTAATGATGATAATTGGTTATTGTTACGCTAGGAAAACTTGAAATTTGGGTCTCGAGTTGATGATGGATGGTAAAACTGTATTCGTTTTGTAAGGAATGGAGGAACCAGCAATGAATGTTGGAAACTGAATCTGTTGTAATCTTTTTAATTTTAATGTCATCAAACTTTAGGAATTTCGTAAAACTTGTGGTATTCTATTAAAAAGAAATTGACATTGAACCAACATATAAAAATTCATAACTTTTCCTCAAAGAAATTCTAGTCATTTAAGTGATTGGCCTGCGGATGGGGGACCTAAGATTTAGCGTCCGGATGAAGAAATTTCTGACGAATTCCAGATGTGCTGTGTTCTTAAAACTCATTCGGGACTGCATGTATCTCGCTATTTTTAGGTTTTAAGAAGCAATTGCTGTACCTACAGCAATGATTCAAAATGTTACTCTAATATATGAACCTAAAATACAATCTTAACAACTATACAAGTTAAGAACTTAGAATAATATTTTCAAATGATGAGTTTTTTTAGGGCTATGTACATGCATAGTACCCAAAACATTGCTATTTACCCTCTTTCATACATTTTTCAAATTCTCACCCAAATATCTAAATTCATGATAAAATCCAACCCAACTTTTTTATTTTTATCAAATTTTTGATGGCACATGTAAATAAATGGTAGTTCAAAAATATTATTTGGATGCTAGATTTTGCAAATGGTGGTGTTATGTATGAAGTTATTACCAAAATATGAAAAATGAAGTGTAAGTGGTAAAGCCACAATACTCAAAACTTTATTTGAAATAAATTTTCAAATTTACTGCAAGCTATAATCTATTGCTTGATTATCTCTATGTTTATGAAAATCTTAATGGTTTGATCGTGACACGCGTAAATATATCAATTTGGTAGTTCAAAAATATTATATGGGTGCTAGATTTTGTAAATAGTATGGTTTGGAGTGTTATGTATGACAAAGTTGTTATCAAAATATGAAGAATGATGTGTAGTGGTAAAGCCACAATACTCTAACTTTTATTCGAAATAAAATTTCATATTTATTGCAAGTTATTATCTATTGCTTGATTAGGTCTATGTTTATATATTTCTAATAAGATTTTGATGGCTCATAATGATATCTTCTCAATAATCAAGATTAAAGTGAATCAAAGAATAGTGATGCTTGCGCTCAAACAACAAAATGTTCAACTTCAGAGCTAACAAAGGATGTTAGAAAGGAAAAAAATCTTCGGAAATTTTTTTAACCTAAAAGAAAATAGGTAACTTAGTCGGGGAGAAATTTATTGCACTTATAAAAAGTAGTATCAAGTGAGGATTACTTTAAACTCTTTAGGAAAGCTTAATTTTTCAATCTCCATGGAGCATTCCAAGAGTAAAACTAGATCAAGGGTAGTAAGCTTCAAACATGATATGGAGTTCTCAAAAAATAGCCCACCACTAATAAAACTTGAGAAATAAAGTGAAAAACCAATCAAAATCCTCTCAACTCTTTTTGTACACCTTTCAATTCATGCTTGTTACATATCATAAATGATCTTGAATTTTTTATAGAATTTACTTGAATAGACAAAGTTTCCAAATTCGTTGTCTTTGAAGAGTCATAAATAGCTCTCACCTCAAGGATGAAGTGTTAGAGCTCATTAAGAGTTGTAATGAAAGTAATGTCCTTTCTCTGCCAACTTATGAAATTAGAGAGGGTGAGATTGGTTAAAGATAAACGCACTTGGGAGTGTAAAGTATTAAAAAAACAAAAAAAGATAAGTCTTATTGAAATGCAACCTTGTAGAATAAGTGAATCATGAATTTTATTTTGTTGCCACTTGATTACTTCGATGTGATATGGGAAGTCTTCAAGAAATTCAATGATTAAAAATTCTATATTGTATGCTTAAAAGGATAATTTCCTTTTAAATTACTTTACTAAAGAAATGATTTATTAATTATGTGATAATCATATTAAGAACATGTTAATTCATGGAAATTATAAAGAGATTTTTAAGTTCTTTATATGATAAGGTGGAGATAAAGAGTACAATCAAAATCCTAAAGTTAGACATCAATCCTTTATTATCCTCAACATAAGTCCAATAGATATTTTAGTAGAGAAAAAAATAAAAAAAAGGCATCATTTACTATACATAGTTAAGTAATTTAAGATAATTAAAAAAAATTCTCTAATTGAGTTAACAAACATAAATGTAGGGTAACATAGATATAAAAATATCATAGACTGCTGTGAACTTGATGTAATTGGAAAGGAAATGCGACTATCATTATTGGTTGAATGAAGTGGCTTAGCTTTTATTAGTTTACGACAGTGATAGGTATTATTATGTGACATAAGGTACTAGTGCAGAAAACATGGACACCCCACCAAGACTTAAAATTTGAATGAAACAACAACTTGCTAGGGACCTATAATATGGTGCAAGATGAAAACATTTAGTTAATATTTGTAATTTACATGTATTTTAATTATTATGTAAGGCTATGTATTTTTATCTTGAATTTATTATCATATACAAAACTTTGATATTTTAAAATTTAAAATTTTAACATCATAAAAATTTTTTAGTTTGAGTTTTTAAATATTGAAGGAATATTATCAATATTTTTGTAAAAATATTTATATGGATAAAATAAAGAAAATAAGTCGTTTCATTTTTGTGTTACAAGCTAATGCATTTTTGGAAGAGTAATTACGTGGTAGTTAAAAACTACCTTCTTGATATGAAGTGGCTATCTGATATGTCTTTGGATACATTTAATTTCTTCTTTGTTTTACACATGTTTTTGAATAAAACTGCACTTTAATAGAAGATATTTTTATGTTTATGATGCATGTATAACAGGCAGGAGCATTGGAACAAATTGGACTAAACTGAAGCGAAATCGAACCAAATGGAGCAAAGCTGTTGATTGTGTTCTGGCACCTAGGCACCCACTTTTGGGCATCAAGGTGTTGTAATTGAACATTTGGCACCAGATTTTGGGCACCTAAGCGCCCAAGCTTTTCGAGCAGACAAAGAGCCCGATGCTTAGGCGTCGCAGATTGAGCATCTAGGAGCTTCACTTTAGACAGTTACTTCCTTCATGGCTCTGGGATTTATTTTACGGTTGTTGACGGTTCAAACGAGGAGTTTTGGAAATCTTAGGAGTAGGGAAGAAGTTTCAAGTCCTATAATTCTTCAAGGACAATATGTAGAAGTAAGAAATCTTGTTCTATAGAGATTTGATAGGGAAATTTGAGAGAATCTATAAGGAGTTTACAACAACAACTTGTGCAGCACTGTGGAAATCATCGTTAGGTTGAATTTGCTTTTCTCTTCAGAGGCCAAAAGCTAAGTATCATGTGTAATCTTATTTGACTATTTCTTTAAACACATATTTAGTGAACATACTTAGATTGAATGTTGTTTTATTTGGTGTTTATCATGTGCAGTTAATAAATTTCTTATATTTTTCTCTTGTGATTGATAAGTTAGCTTTGTAGGGTTGTGAATGCTTTGAATTGATCTTTATTTTCGTGTGATGAGTGACTGACCCAACCCGTAATTACATAATTATTTAAGTTCAGAAATATGACAAAAAACTTGACCCAATTTATATTTAGCGGCTAGTGCGCCAGATTAAATAGTATATAAAGATGATAAAAATGGTTTACACACTAGGGGTACTACAAAAATATACGTATTGTTTCAAGTAATATAGATTTGTCATTAAAAAATCCCTGTATTGATCCCACAGAGACAAGCAAAACTCTTATAAAATTGACTTTAATAAATTCTTCTTTTAATTGTAGTAAATTTATATAGGAAATGAGTGCAAGTTTTGTGCAATACCTAATCCTATAGAAATAAAAGGAATAATAAGTATGCTAAGCAAATGCAAAATGTAAATGCAAGATAATCTAAAAAGGTTTTAAAATGTAAAGTTACCACTACTCTAATTAACAATGATGATGACTTCAAATTTATATAAATCATCCTTCCCCTTCCAATGAGTTTATAATTAGTATAGGAAAATAATTTTAGATATAATTAAGGTATTGTGCCAAATAGGAGCAATTCTATTTTTTACCCTCTCTCGAGTGCATAAAGAACATTGACTAATCCAAAGGTTGGTCCCTAAACCCGTTGTTAGGCTGGGAAGATATCAGCTCTTACTCTAGAGCTATCACTTCCCTTCAACTGAGGGCTATGATACACCGAAAATATATGCATTTTTAGACCCATATTTTATACTCATTTTTGGTGATATTGCACTTTAATGGAAGGTATTTTTATCTTTTTTTGCAGGTTATTGATTTTTAGGACTTAAAGCAAAAAGAAAGCAAAAAGGATGGAATTTGGAGTCAAAATGGCGTTTTTGAAGAAATACTCAGCGTAGACGGTGCTAGGAGCAGTGTCGAAGACGCAAACTTACAGAACGACTGATGGATTTTACTCAGTGTCGACGACGCCTGAAGCAACACCGACGTCGCCATTTAATAAAGAGCATAGAATTAAATACAAACCACTGGTGTTGACGACACCAATGTCGGTTCAGACCATGTTTCTAGAAGATTTGACGAATTTGGACGCTTTTTGAAGGGTTTTTGGATGAACCTATTGAATAATCGACTCTAGGCTTTATTTGAGGCCAAAGTTGATCAGAAAAGGCACTCCTCTTCATTCCTCCTTGTTCATTTTCGCCACACCTTGCCTCCATATAATTTTTCCATCTTCATTCCACCACAATTCATGAGTCTATAAGTGATTTTTATTTAAGACTTTAGAGTTTTTGTGGTGAGATTAAGTGTGAATTCTTCTCTGAGAGTGTTGGAGAAGGAGAAAAGTGAGAGATTTGTTCTTCCTACACTTCCTAGGAGAGGCTACAAGGGATTTTCTTTGACAAAGAGTTTCA